CGGCATAGCTCCGTATAATGCGTTATATGGCCGCCTATGCAGATCATCGATTTGTTGGGAAGAGGTGGGTGATAGAAAATTGTTCGACTCAAATCTTGTGGAAGAAACTACAACCAAAATAGTTAAGATTAGAAAGAATATCCAGATAGCTCAGAGCATATATAAGAGTTATGTGAACACCTAGAGGAGGGATTTAAAATTTGAGAAAGGTGATCGAGTGTTCCTTAAGGTCAGTTCTTTCAAGAAAATTAGTAGGTTTGGCAAGAGAAGAAAATTAAATCTTCGATTTATTGGGTCATTTGAAATCTTAAACAGAATTAGTATTTCCGCCTACAGACTGGCACTACCTCCAGAACTATCCAAAATCCATAATATGTTTCATATGTCCATGCTACGCAAGTACAACTCGAACCCCTCTCGCATATTGGCCCACGAGCCTTTTTCACTCTAGGTGGATATGTCCTATAAGTAGGTATCGGTGGGTGTTGTGGACCGAAAGAGCAGGGTACTCCACAACTGGAAAATTCTCTTCGTTAAGGTCTTATGCCAGAATCACATACTAAGAGATGTCACATGAGAACTAGAATCAGACTTCAAAGCCCAGTATCCCCAACTATTTGATTGAGTGAGAGATAGACAAATTTGAAAGACCAAATTTCTTTTAAGGGGGGAGAGTTGTAATATCCAAACCCAAAATTTAGCCCAAGATTAATTTTAAAGTCTAAACAAATGTATAAAAATATAATTTTTAAATTTATAAATTTTGTTTAATGTAAAATTAGAAAAAAAAATAGGTTTGAGGATGAAGTTAAAAATAATTTTGAAAAAAATGGGTGAAAATTTGGGCTGGGATGGTATTTTGGAAAGAAAACTTAAAACCTAGAGGTCAAAATACAATTAAAAAAAATTACACCACGTAGGACTGCCCAGTTAGCAGCCCCGATGAACTCCTGCATCACGTGGCAAGGCACGTTGACTCAGTGCTATGCCAGCAATTCGCATGCTCGCGATCAGACGGCCCGGATGTGTTCCTGCACGCGTGGACGGTCCAGATCCGTTCCCTCCTCAGGCACGATCGGATGGTCGTGATTAAAAACGATGAACGGCTCAAATTCGTTTTCTCTTTAAATACGATCGTATGGTCGAGATCAAATCACGATGAATGGTCCAAATTTATTTTATCTTTAAACGCGATCGGACGGTCGAGATCAAACGCGATGAATGGTCTAGATTTAAGAGAGATTGGTATAAATATCTCGCGTCATACCGAACCCAAACCTAAGCCGCCAGCCTTTCGCCGAAGAAGAAGAACCAGTCGTCGGAGAAGGGAGCCAATTGTCGTTGCGTTACAGCCACCTCCAACTGCCAAAAAAGGTAAAAATTATCTTATTCACTCGGAATTTGATTTCAAACACCCCCATGGTCAAATTGAAACAAAAAGAATGGTGGATGAGATAAAAACTGCGTGTAAAGCCCGGCAGTGTCGCCACGGGCAAAACCCAAAATTGCCTCCGCTAAGCCCTTTCACGTTTCCTGTTTCGTGCGATTTTTCCATCATTGTGTTCTTTATTATGTTTTTTACAGGTTGAACGAAGAAAAATGCTCAGCCGCAAAGGTAAGCCGGTGGAGCCGCCGCACTGAAAAATTTTGCCACCAATAAATTTTTATTTTTTAACTTTTTTCAACCAACCGAGACCCCCTAACGTGTTTTCTCGCAGGAATTGGTATAAAACTGGCCAAAAACAGTCAGGTCGAGGCAAACCACCGTTGCGGATAGCGGTGCCGTCGCCAGAGCACGGCAGTGCCACCATGTCGGAATTTTAAAATTTGTCAGAAAAGGTTTTTAACATTGATTTTGGATTTTTTTTATAGTATTTTAGGTACACGAAGCGTGTTTTAATCTCTGCAGAAAAATTCAGGAAACTTGGGGACCGCTAATAGGCACAACTGAAAGTTCGGTGTTTCGGACACCGATTCGACTAAAAATCTCTCACCTTATTCCCTTTATGGAATTAAAGTTTAATTACCAATAATATGATATTTTGCATAATTTAGAAAACTTCAAGAATTAATTACAGGTTATTAATAGAGTTAGAACTGGTTATTTATTATTGTTTATCATGTTTAACCGGTTATTTGATTTTACAGCTTTAAATACATGATAATATACTAGAATTGGTAAAATGATTCAGTTTTGTTTCCTTGATACATATACTGTTTGTCTTATGTTGATTTACGATTAAATTGTGAAACTGAAAATTAAATGTAAACCGAAAATTGATTGGTTAGGTGAATGAATGAATGGTAACTTTACTGGATATCTTGGGAGATAGTGGACGGACCGGGTACATAGGAAACCCTACCGTGAACGTCACCTTAAACCGGACGAGATATCGATGATTGGTATTTTTGGTACTCATACCAGACGGGGTATGGAGACAGCTCATTTCACCCTCATAGCAGACGAGGCATGGGGACAGCTGGTTAGTTGATAATGTTGAATAATGGTTCACGCATAGTGGGATATCTCTATGGGTCTCCAAGGATAGTAGTAGGCAAATAAAGAGGGAAAATTATTATTTTTATTCACTTGAATATGAGATTAGAATATTATTTGAGTTATTGTCTCTATAGGTCGATTTTGAAAATCTCACAACGGTAAATACATGAAATAAATAGTTTTTCTTATGATAAATGAATTTGCTTAAATCA